AGTTCCAACAGCCACATTAGCAATCCCAGCAGCAGCAACATCAGTATGCCCAGCAGCAGCAGCAGCAGCAGTAGCAACATCATCAGCAGCAGCAACAGCAACATAAGCAATCTCGATGCCAACAGGAATTTCACTTCAATATCCACATCGAGCACAACGACGGCCGCCAATTCTGGCGGTGATCGGGATAGGGAACGGGAACGGGAGCATGATGCCCTCATCCTGGCCACGCCCACCGCTCACTTGAACGGCAGCAGTGGGTCGGCCGAGCATCAGACCATTGGCCAGGCACCGCCCACAAAGGGGGAGCAGGAGGCGATCCTGCGAGCCTTGGACTGGCTAAAGGAGAAGAGGGCCTCGGACTACGGCTGGGGCAACGACACCCATGTGGTCATCCTGGCCAAGGAGCTGTCGGGCGGCCGGGATCCCAATGACAGTGTCGATGCCCATGTTTTGGTCATTCAGGAGCTGGAGGACACGCTGTCCGTCAAGGAGATGGAAATCGAGATACTGGCCATGCTGGATCGCCATCACACGTTGCCCAAGCCGCTCGATCTGGACAAACTGGCCCGGTATGTCCTCGCCCTGGGCTCCCTGTGCAAGGACCCGAAGCACTTCCATGGCCACGATCTGGTGGCCACACTGCAGCACCACGAGCCGGCGCAGGACATCGAGTTCGCCCTGACCACACTGTCGGCCTGCAGTTCGGCGGCCCATGTGAGGAAACGTCAGATCCGGCGACTGCTGGACATTGCCAGCGGAGTGACCGACCAGAGCGTCGATGCCATTGCCATGGTCATCCTGGCGTTGCGGTGCATCGTCACCGACCACCGCCATCGCCACCTGCAGCACTTCGTCCGTCGACCGGCACGGGGGCTGGCCAGTCTGCAGGATCAGCGGGGCAGCTTCGGATCGCTGCGCAGCACGGCATTGGCCATGCAGGCTCTGCAGGATCTGGAGTACGACCCGGCCGGACACTGGAACCGCACGGCCGCCTCGCGCTACATCCTCAGTCGCCAGCGGGCGGATGGCGGCTGGAGCGAGGAGCCGCTGCAGGATGGCCAGGAGCCCGACATCGGAGTGGGCCTCACCGCGGACATCATCCTGGCCCTGGGCTGGAAGGGATTGGGTGCGGTGCGGGCACTGCAGTGCGACCATGTGATACGCGAGAGCAGCGATCCCACGGGTGAGTTTTTGCCAACTGATTACAAGCCAACAATTATATAGAACGGGGTCACCAATCTCTAAGTCACAGCATGTTATATCTCTTGGGCTAGGGCAACAAAAGTAAATAAATCGCGGTCACATATACCGTTGAATTCGTTATAAAATTTCCAACCGAATGGCATTCACAGTTCAAAATGTTGAAAATTAACCAATTTCTGCAAAAAATGTCAAACTTCAATTCACACCATAACTAAATAAATTGAAATATATAGGCTATGCCAAAAATGAGTATAGATCGTGGTCACCAGTCCCTATCCAAGCTATTCACAACTTGACTTGATACATTTAAAACATAAATGGTTATATCTCTTGAACTTTACCAAAAAGAAATATAGATTGGGGTTATCAATCTCAATATGAATAACTGACGACGGCTAAATAAAGCTCAATCATAAAACTTATACCTTTTGGACTGAGTTAAAGAAAACATGGATCGGGGTCACCAATCTTTAAAGTTATATAATATTTAATCAATCATTATCATAACCAAGGTTTTGACTATTTCTTGACTTGACTTGCCCACAGAGAACGGAGAGCCGAAGCTGGCGGTTCCCTTCGGATTGAGTTCCTCCGCCGAGGAGTCGGATGCGAAGAACATCTCGTATACGTACACACTGTGGGTGGGATCCAATGTGACCGAGGCCTTCTCCCTGTCCCTCGTGTCGCCCAAAAACACTAGCTTTTTCAAAGCCATGACCCAAGCGGCCGAAATGGATCCCAGGTGAGTCAACAGAAATGATCGAAAGTTGTCCTTTAATTACTTAATAATACCTATAACCGTACAGATTTATTTTCGAGGCGCGGGAGTGGCCCAATGGCCATTATGTGCACACCCTGTACGGCAAAAAAGAGGAGCCCCGAGGGTGAGTCACCCAGAACTGATATAATATATTCCCAGATAATACTGGCATACATTTAATCAATGTTTCAGGTATCACTACTGGCTGCTTTATCGATTGCCAGAGCTGCCCGATCCCAATAATACGCCCGGGAATCAGCTTATTGCGCCTGTTGGTAAGTTCGTTTCCGATTCAAGATTGTAGTGAAACTTCTCTAACTCGAAATAGTAGATTGGTAAAGAGATTACTTTCAGGGGTTTTGATTAAAGCTACAGATATCAAACACTTTTTAAAATGGTTCATAAAGGTGTTGAAAAGTATGCAACGAAATACATCCTTCGGACTGAAAATAATCTGTTAATTGTATGTTGCATACTTTTAGACAGATTTTAAAGTAATTTTAAAAAAAATAGTGATTTTGTAGCACCACCCATAAACTTTTTTGTTTAACCGTTAACCCATTTAAATTGTGTTACATAAGGCTTATGTTTAAAGACACTTAACTTATGATCAAATATTCATGGCTAATTAAAGTCAGAGAAGTTTGGACCACAACGAACAGGTGATAATTCAGATGGGAACTCTTGCAGGTGTGGACGAGCTAATGGTCGAGGACGGGGAGCACTATCTGTACTGGTACAAGAAGCTCTAAGCACGCGGCCTTAGACGGAGCTGCAGTTTAACCCACTAAGCAAAGTCTATAAACACCCGGTGCTATTGGACTATATCTATTATACATATATATGGCCATATAGTCACGTCTCACACACACACACACAACACACACGCAACAAGCAATGAAGCAAAGAAGCTAAGAAGCTAAGAACAAATAATGGCAAAGGAATATGTGTATTTACTACAGGTATTCCTGACTGGGTGCATTGCTCCCTCTCTATATATATTGCATATATAACTGCATAATAATGGCGTAATCAAAAAAAAAAAAAATATACACACAGAGAAAATCACAAGAGAGTGAAAGATCGGTGAAAAAAGAAGAAGGTTGAAAACGTGAAAGCCCTGATTTCTAACGAATAACTAGGATACAAACACCCCAAAAAATACCAAAATAGTTAAATGCTCTAGACCTCACAACTGATCTCGATTCGGAGCACCTCAGGCTAAAAAAAAAAAAAAAAAAAAAAAAGAACTTATGCATATAGCGATAACTAAACGAAAGGAGGGTAATGGAAAAGGTAAATGGTGTGTGATCACAAAAAGTATCGACTTAAATGCACTAACAACTGGCATCGAACGGTTAGCAATCCGTCCGTTTTAGGCCCTCTCAACAAAAGCTTCCCTTGGCAGCGATGCATACATATTTCGTTGCTCGTTTAAAAAAAGACACCCAAAGAAACTAAGAAAAACCAAATGCTTTATATGTTATTGAAGTGGAAGAGGTAGGGATGAGGTATCCTTTGGGTCCAATGGATCCAATGGGTCCATCGATCTGGAGAGGTAGACAAAACGGGAGAGCTAGTCCAAGCGATGAAGCATGTTATACCAAACACCGTACGTAACAATAAGTGATTGAAAATCATCCTTAGGCATACACACATACTGCATAAATCGATATATACATACATCTTGCATATACATTTAAAGAAAACAAAAAGAGAAAAACAGAAAAAAACAGAAAAAAAACTAGTTTTATATGAAGTTAAGCAAACGAAAAGGCCGTGGCATATTATATAACGATTATACAGGATAGCGACAGAGAGGAGAGAACGATACTACCCCAGGACACTACTATATATACAAACGCTCTATATGCCTATCAAGCACTACTCACTCCCCATTATTGCATAGTAGATACAAACATATATATGCCCCATGCCATAATACCATACTACCCACATATAAAGTAACACTATCTATCCCCCGGAAAAGCCTACTCATTGTATATCATTATTTACATATACATCTATCACACCCACATTTCTTCACTTGTCACTCGGAACTTTCAAGCCGTTGATCTTAAAGCCTAGCCTAACCGAAGAAAACTTCAAACTACTACAACTACTACTTGAGATCTTTAAGTGCAGCAGCGAATCCTAAACTAAACGAAACTTAACATTACTAACCTAGCGATCTAAACTAACTCGTTTATATTATAAGCATGAAATTGAGCTTTTTAATTGTGCAGATTGAACCCAAATTAGAACACGAAACACCCACACCTAGACACTGATGGAAAAACGGAGAGAGAACGCGTAGGATTTGAGGAATGAGTTATGTATGTTCATTAACCCTGTACTATACAGTATGTCCCCTTCTATGACGACCCATAGTTAGTTAGTTAATTTTGAGGTCCACAACTTTCAAGCGACAGCAACAGCCGGTACAGTTGTACAGTGTCAATCGATTTCACTCGAACTTTTCGAAATTTAATGTTTTTTAAAACTTGTTATCGATAAATGTATTTAAAATGAATACAACTCTGTAGAAATCGAAAACATTTATCGTTTTTTGAGGAAACTAAAGGTGTACAACTATTGTGTATCATTTTATCGAAAAATCAATCAGTTTTTTTATGTTCTTTTTAAAAGAACTTGATTTCGATGATTGTGTTTAAAGTAATTACAACATTTTAGAAATTAAAAATAGTTTCTAATTGTTTAAGAAAATTACGTTTTAACAATATTGATTTCTTAAAATTCGTTGAGTTCATCGAAAAGTATAACTTGCAATTGAAACCTGCTGCTGCTGACTTCTTATATTCTGTTTGGTGAGTGGAGAAAGTAACAAGAACAAGCGTGAATAAACATCAAAATAATTGAAAACTACATAAAAAAGCGTTTTTACTTAAGAAATGTTATCAGAACACACGTAAACAACGTTGGATTATGGACAAAAGGTAAGAATTTCTTTTTTTTCAAATTTAAAATTTAAGCTTTATTTCAGCTTTTAATGCGGAGTGGCGACTCATTGCGATTTCAGGCAGATTAACAATGTTGTAGTTTTATTTTATTATTACGTTCATTCATTTTTTCTTTTTAGTTTGCCAGTTTTTGCGCTGTATATTGTATGAATATAATATATAATATATAGATTCGATATTCGTTTGTCTTTGCTACGATTTGAAGAAGGCCGCATAGAGCACGAACGCAACAGATTTACAACATCAAACACTTTACAAATACGTTTCGATAAGTCATGCACACATTACACACACGCCTAGCTAACTAGGATGGATTGGATTTAGATTTGGATTTGCATTTATGATTGGCAACAATTCGAGTTTAAACAATTACACACTCGTTGCGTCTGGAATTTGTGGTTGCAGTTTGTATATAGGAATAGTAAAAGCGATAGAATCGTGATTCATGTATAAAGGAGCGGGGCGTTAAGTAATCCTTGTGAAGCATTCAAAGTTCAATCCGGAAACTATAATAATCTCAAGCTGAGTTCATCCATTTACAAAAATAAATGGTGACTCTTGAATGCAAATTATCTCATTGTAAGCGAATAAAAATGTATAAGAAAATATTTATGTAGCTAGTCTCCGTTTTGAACAGTAAACTGTAGTAAAATATAATGCACTGTGAGACATGGAATTTGCAAAGTAGAAATATAGTTTTTAGTATGTTGATTCCATCACTTTTCATTGACTTTCTAATTTACAAACACAATTAAAATGAATAAATTACGTTTGAATTCCACTTTGCAAACTCCCATCAATCGTTAATCTATAGATTGGCATTCTTAGTTCCACTTCCGAATCACATTTTCGATCGATCGTTACATTGCACATTGAGTTAAATTTCGAGGAAAATGTTGCGAAAGTGGAATCTTCAGACATTTTGAAGAGAATTACTTTCGTCCCGCCCTTTACAGTGTATATTCCAGATGTGGAAAGCTTAGGTTTACGTAGTGAGGCGGCTTTGCTTTGTTCTCCCTTTGAGTAGCCCTATTCCCGGGGGATTCCCCTGATCATCTGCCATCTCGTTCGCATTCGTGTCCTCCGTTGCTCACATGGCGAAGCTGAGCTGCAGGGCATTGCGCAGTTCGTTGAGCACCATGGATCCGATGACCATCTTTTCGCAGTTGACCAGCAGCGCGAGCGACTCCTCCGTTTGCCAGTGGAGGGTGAGCAGGACGAGACTCTTGGAGCTCAGCGTTTGGCCGGCAAAGCAGTGCAGCTGGCCGCCTGGCGAGCTGTGCGTATGCGCCACATTGATGCACTCGAAAACCTTTTGCCGCAGAGCACTGACATCGATCAGATCCCTTCGCAAGCCGCGCAACTCGCACTGGTGCTCGTTCATGCCCCTCAACTTGGACCGCTCCTCGCGGTGACAGCTCTCGCCGATCTGGACGGATCTCACCAGCTCACCCACCGGCGGTTTCAGTTGCAATCGCGACGTGCCCGCACTGGAGATTAGCTCCAAGTCCAGCGCATGCGTAGAGTCATTGAAATCCACGCCCAGCACTCCGCTGGCCGTCTGTTGCGGCTGCAGAACGGTGACGGGCGCAAACTCATTCAACTGCATGCCGGCTGGCAATGTCGTGGCTCCCAGACGAATCGCCGTGATCTCATGCTCGCCACGATTCTGAAACTGCAGCTCAATGGAGCACATGCTCGAGGAGTAGAGATGCGGCGAGCGGGTGAAGCGGTAGGCCAACTGCAGCCCATGGCCACTGACCTTGTTGAGCAGCTCCTTGTGCTTGAACTCGATGTGCGAGGGACCCACCAGTTCCACCCTGTTCCGGGCATGCTGCGGCTGCAATGGTGCCGCCTGGCCGGCCATCAGTGGAGTGCCTGTTGGGGATTAGTTTTGTCGTTATCTATATATACATATATCGTTTCAAGGAGCATGCTGGCTCTCACCAGGCGTTAGGAATCCTCCCAGCGAGGGCGTCATCACCGGACCAATGGGCGGAATGTCATCCAGATCGAGCAGCAGTTCCAGATTGCTCTTCGAGGGCGTTTGCTCTGGCTGCTTCGGCTGCTGCTTCTGCTTCTCCTCTTTTGCCTTTACCTTCTCCATTTTTGGCTGCTGCTCCTTGGAGTCGCTATTGGAGTCGCTGTCGTCGGTGCCACTGCCACTGCCACTGTACGCCGAGGAATCCTCGCTGTCCGAGGTGCCCGAGAAAGCAGCCGCATTGTTGTTATTGTTCGTGATGGCTTTCGCCGGCAATGTGGGCATTTGATCGATGAGCTGCTCCTGCTTTGTGGAGGAAACCTTTGCGGGCAGCTCCTTTCGATGCTCCTCCTCCTCGCCGCTGCTGCCGCTGCCATCGGAGTCACTGTCGCTGGTGCTGCTGCCACTGCTGCTGCTGCTGCCACTGCTGCTGCTGCCCGACTCCGAGTACGCCGACGACTTGTCCTCCGATTCGGAGAGGAAACCCTTTTCGCCAGCCGCCCTTGAACCCTTCTGCTTGCCACCGCCACTGCCACCGGCAGCCGCCTTCGTAGTTCGCCCCGAGGGGGAATCCTCGCCGGGCAGCTTGTCCTGCATGAAACCAGCTATGTTGCGCACCGACGAGTCCGGCGGAATGACCGGAAAGTCGGGCAGTTCCTTGTAGCCAGCCGCCGGCATGTTTAAGTAATGGGACAGCGAGCCCAGCTGGTAGGTGTTTCCATCGCGGTACTTGCTCTCGGGCAACGGGGCCGGCTTGCTGGCCAGGAACACTTGGCGGGCATGCTGGCTGAGCACCGAGCTCGAACCGCTGGCCGGGAAGATGATCTGGCGCAGGAAACGGGCACGATCGCGCACATCGTAGTTGGGATCGTAGCGGGCCAGCGTGAACACGTACTGGCAGAGCAGCGACGTTTGCTCCGGATTGGTTAGGTAGAGCTTAACGCCCAGATTCAGCACCTGCAGCTTGACCACATCCTGCTCGTCCACAAACGACTTGGCCATTTTGCGCAGCACATCGGGTGCAATCAGTGGCACCTTCTCATTGTACTCGCCAATCAACCAGATGATGGCCGCCCGTGCTGCCGGCACATTGATGTAGTCAATCAGTTTGGCCATCTGGGTGATGATCTCGAAGTGCTCGGCTGCCTTTGTCTGCAGTAGTCGCTTAATCACCACCACGCTCTCGGCCACCACGTGCTCTAAATGGTTGTGAAAAATTATTAAAAAAAAGAATGAGATTTCTGGCTAACAACCTATTGGCAAACAGAGGAACCCACCATCATGATTGGACAGCAGATGGACCAGGCCACTCAAACAGGTCTCGGTGACCTCCTTGATGCTGGACGCACATCGTCCAATTGCCTGTATGGTGGCCGCCACAAACGAACGATCGCTGCTGGAGATGTAGGTTTGGAATTCGCGTAGGATGAGCGAAATACTACCGGCCGAGGCCAAATTGGTGAGAATGTCCAGCTTGAGGAGCTTAAGATGAGTGGGATCACTGGTGCGCACAAAGAACGACTTGAGGTGCGGCTCAAAGATGCCCTTTCGCTTGGTGGCCATGGAGGCAATGCAGTTGAGCACCACACTCTGGACTTCCTTGTGCGAGCGCAGCAGTCGTATCAGCGCCTTGGCTATCAGTTGCACCTCGTTCTTGGGCGCCACATGATGGTACAGCTGCGCCACCGCCATCACAACGGATGCGTTTCGCGACTGGAGCAGTGGTTTCGTTTGCCTCAACAACAGGCGATGGTCCACATCGATGTGGTAGCTGTTGCTTGGCGAACTGGGCGTCCTGCTGCCATTATTATTATTGTTGTTGTTATTATTGGTTCGGGCCTTGGTCTTGTCATCCTCATCATCAGCGCTACTATTTGCGTCTTCGCTGTGGGAAGAGGAGTGCGAGGATTCGTCGTAGAAACGTTCGTTTACGGGCGTTTCGGCCAGACCATCGGCCAGATCATCGTCATCGGCATTGGGATCCACGAACTGGGTGCGTGCATAGCGGGTCAGCATATTGATGATGATCACCTGACCCCACTCATCCACGTCCACCAGAAGATTGCACAGCTTTCGATAGTTCTTGTGGATCAAATCCACGCGTTCCGGGCAGACCTAAGCATATTTATGATTCATTAATATGGGGGATAATAGATTTCCTAGCTATAAAGTCACCTCGTCGAAGGCCATCACTGCCGAGCCCACCACCAAAGTAGTGCGATCGGAGAGGAGCTTCTCTATGACCATGACCAGTTCGTCCTTCTGGTCGGCATCCAACGAATACAGCTTGGGGATGGCATGGGCCGCCGTCTTCCTCACATACGGACTCAAGTCGGCGGCACTGTCCCTTATGGCCAGCATCACAATGGGTACGATCATGCTGACCCTTATGGAGGAGAGAACCCGCAGGGCCGATGCCCGGATCAGTTGATTGGGATCCTTGAGGGCCCGCTGGAACGTGGATATGGAGAGCAGGGCCAGGTCCTGCTGCTCCTCGGCATAGCGCACCAGGTAGACATAGACCAGTTTCTTCACCTCGATATTCTTGGACACCACATTCTTGACCACAGCGGGAAACAGGTCACTGGCATCCCGACCGCGGGCAATCATCCCGATGATCCTCTTCATGGCCTCCAGCTTGAGCCCGTCCTTGTTGCTGTCCAACATCTGCTTGAGATCATCGTGTTTTCGACCGTCGGACTGGAAAAACGCAGCTCCACTCGCAGGATCCGCTCCGAATTCCACATCCAATCCCATTTGGGGTCGCTCCACGTACGTGGACATGGCAAACGGATTGCTGGCCGTGTTCTGTTGCATTTTCCACAGCAATCCCTCTTGGAATCCGGATTACCAATTGACAACTTGACCTTTTTCGCGTTTTTTTTCTTTTTTGTTTGTGTGTGGGAGTTGGCAGTTTTGATTGACGCTTCAACTGTGAAACCTTCGCTATGGAACCCTCCTCTGTATATATGCTATATCTAATCCTCGAGAGGATCAGGTGATCCTGTTCGTCCTGCCACGCAGCGGATGAACTTTACCGGAGGAGCACTACAGGTTTGCCGAAAATTTGGTCGAACTTTGCATTTTTAGCTTTCAGAATTAGTGGTGAGCCACTATCGATAGGCATTCCCCAATATACTGAATGAAGTAAAATACAAAAAATACCATAGCGAAGTGTTCCCGTATTGAATATTAGGTACTATTCTAGTCCCTTAACTGTGTGTTTGTACATAGGTACGTACAGAAGTAAGGGACGGCTTATAAGTATAAATAAATAGTAAGTAAGTAGTGTGTTAAAGTAATCCGCTTTTTCTCGATTTCAGACCCCTCCCTCCCTTCATTTAGTCAAACACACACAAAATTGCATTACAAAAATATATACAAGAAATGAAATGTAAAAAAAATATATTTAAAGCTGGGTACGAAAATAAAGTACAGTTTTTGAAAGAGAATAAATAGTACTATTTTGCCTAACAAAGATCTGCAATGAGGTTGGGATCATTCTTTCATAAACCTTGTACAAAATATGTAGAACTTGAGAACATTTGTACAAACAGCCCCTTTTCAGTGTGACCAATGGTCTTTCAGGTTTGGGATTTCAGCAGCACAGTTATCTGGTCTCACCTGGTCCTCGAACAACTCGACAACTACGTGGCTGCTGCTCGATTAAAAGTAACTAAAACCAGGCCATTTAAACCCGAATCAACAATGGAAGGGACGCTCGCCAAGGTGCTGCTCCTTGTGGGCAGTCTGCTGATCCTGTGCCGATTCAGCCACGCCTTCATCGTCAGCGTGGACGCCCACAACGAGGAGTGTTTCTTCGAGAATGTCGAAGGCGGCACCAAATTCGGTACGAAGACTTTGTGGGATTTAACAGGGGATTTAGCTGATAAAATCATGATTCCTTTGGCAGGCGTCACCTTCGAGGTGATTGACGGCGGCTTCCTGGACGTGGACATCAAGATCAGCGGCCCCGAGAACCATGTGATGCACGAAAGCGAGAAGGAGTCCTCCGGCAAGTACACCTTTGTGGCACCGGCCAAGGGAACCTACACCGTCTGCTTCAACAACGAGCGCAGCAGCATGACGCCCAAGCTGGTCATGTTCTCCATCGACGTGGGCGAAGCACCACAACGTGCCCCCGGCGCTCCCGGCGAGGAGGAGGTGGGCCACACCAAGCTGGAGGACATGATCCGGGAGCTCTCGGGCACGCTGACCAGCGTCAAGCACGAGCAGGAGTACATGCATGTGAGTGGTGGCCATAAACACCTATAGTTGTGCAGACATATACCTCATGCTAAGGGAAAATAGGGTCTCTGGTTGCCACATGAACAGGAATGTTGCATCGTAGTTGAAGCATCTATTTAGCATGTCACCAAGACCCATTTTACTTGCATTTAACTTTTATATTTAGAGCATTGTCAAATGGTTTCTACTGCCTATAGATTTCAAGATATATCTAGTGTTATATCTAATCCTTAGGAAAATAGGGTCGTTAGTTGCCACATGAACAGGAATGGGTCATCACTAGCCTCTTATTAGGAGCTGAGACGCCTTTCAAGCAGACCCAATACACTTAATTTTGCCCAGTTCTATTCCTTTATTTTAAAACCATCGTCAAGGGTGGCTGAAACCAAGTAATTAGAACTATTAACTCTCACATAAACAGCAATGAGAAATGAGAGATTTTAGGCCATTGTCTTCATAGATTTAGTAGTCCACTTTCTATACCAAATCAAGGGAATTCCATATAAACATTAATGTAGGATTGATTGGCTGTATCAAATTAAACGGATAAAGAAGACTTGGGAGTTAGAACCCTCAGTTAAATATCATTAGTAAGACAGCCACGAAACATAAGGTTTGAAGGATTTTTTCCTAGCAGTATCATAACATATTTCTAGACCAAATTACATGAACATTATGTTTACAAACCGAACTATACGCATAAGTAGAAAAGAATATTTAAAAACCATTAGGCATGAAAACTCATAATTATACCTTCTAGCTATTTTACGATTTGGTGCTTTACTTAAAGACCTACGAAAAGTCCATATAAAGTATAAGTAGTTGTTCGATAATTTTTTATAATTAATCCACGACTATGCTAATCGAACCATCTACAATCTATCGAATTTTTCAGGTGCGCGACAAGATCCATCGTTCGGTGAACGAGAGCACTAATGCCCGCGTCGTGCTGTGGTCCACTTTCGAGGCCCTGGTCCTGGTCCTCATGACTGTTGGCCAGGTCTACTACCTGAAGCGATTCTTTGAGGTCAAGCGCGTCGTGTAATCCCTATTGCGACCAGACAACCAGGATGGAGGGAGCAAAGGAGCAGCGTATTGAGCCCGGGGGATATGTGTGCGCAATGTGTGTTGCAGTCTCAGATTTAATTTAAACGATTAACATCCTTTTGTAATTAAAATAAAATACCTTGTAAAAAGTAACTAATGGCTGAAAATATTTGAATCTGTCTTGATTCCGGTTCGAATACATTAACAACAGGGATTTCAACGGCATCTATTACAAAAATCATTGAAAAAAAATGTTTTTTTCCAAATGACCAAAAGTTAAGACATTTCGAAATGAAATGACAAAAAATATTTTCAGACACACATTCAATGGGGGAAATGCCACTTTGTGTATGTTTTAATTAAATATTAAAAAAATCATTTTGATTTTTAATAATAAATGTAATTTGTTATTGGCTACGAAAACAAAAGGATAATTACACGTTTAGGAACTAATCTCAAAGTAAGTGTTAAAAAACTGGGACCTCAATAAAGGGATTAAGTTTGTGCAACAAGTTAAAGCATTTGTTGCTTGAATGTCGACAGTAACTTATAAAAAAACTTAAATTCTTCTTATCGATGCACTACATATTTATTTTCATTGGACTTTCGATCGGAATTTTTTAATATAATATGGAAAATCAGTACAAAGTCAAAGATAGAAGTATGCTCTAATAAAATCCATAAAACTTTATGCTGGAAAATACAATATTATTATTTTAAAATATTTAATAATTGCAGACTTAACGCAGCTTTCGACGCAACCCTGTGGAAAAGGTATATAATATAATCAGAGTAATCGTTTTGCAGCACTGTTCTCTGCGCAGGTAAAAGATCGCTTGTACACTTTTTCGTTTTCAATGCTGAAACTTAAAGTTCGGGGAAATTTTCTGAGATCCTTTGTTCATCTGGTTACAATAAGTCGCATAATGGGTGATATGTTTGTGAAATCTACCGATTGTGGCCCCAGTTCTCGGTTATTGCAACAATGTCGCCAAGTGGAAAAACCCAATGCTACATTGGATTTGAACGCATTTCAAGCGTTATCTGAGAGGTTTCCCGCCAAAGTATTATTCACTGCGACTTCCTAGATAATCCCAGATAATCCCTATAATCCCCAATTTCAGTTTGGCATCGATACATGTCGGGTTAAGGCGCAACCGGCGGATCGCAGTGAGCAAATCCGGAAGCAGATCGCCTCCGCCTATCCGGTGATTCACGAACGGACACTACTGTTATACGCCAATTTCCTGGAGCACAAGCTTAATTTCGGTGGGTACACACATGCATACTGAAATGCCAAAAAAAAAAAAAAATAGTTTCTTTAAGAATTTCAAAAACCTGTTTTTGAGTTTTAAAAATCTTCAATTTTTCAAGTATGTGGTCAGTTTACTGAAAACGCTGACATGGTTAAACATTTGTATGTCCCGATTCGGAACCTAAATAATTAATTTAAATTGGGAAGGCAATTGCCCTATTTTATGAGACCAGTTTGGGGTCACCTTTCTCTTTAACACTTTTTTTTTTATAACGCTCACGTGGCTAAACAATTTTGTGCCCCGATTTGGAATCTGAACAATCAAATTAGTCATTAACCTTAAAGCAGTTTGGGGTCACCTTTTTCTTGAAACTTATTTTTTTTTTTTTTCTTGAAAAGTACTGACGTGGTTAAACTTTTTTTTTGTACAGATTCGAAATCTCAAGAGCGAGTTTGGGGTCACCTTTTCTTGAAATCCTACTCAGCAACAAAGTAATGAAGTTATATCCCAAAATTTCGCAGGCAGCGATCAGGAGAAGAGCCTTTATACGAACATGACTCTGGTGGACTTTGTGCAGCGCCTTCTGGCAAAGAGATGTGTGTGGTTCTTGGGCGGCGGAGACTACTACCACACCATGGATGGGGAAACCGGAAGCGGGGGCTTCGAGGATGTGGGCACGCCCGCAGAAAAACACCCGCTGAAGCTAACCTCCGTGCTCAGCTACGACGAGATCAAGTTGTCCGCCCTGCTCTACGTTTCCAGCCACTCGGAGTTCATCAACACGGGTCGCAGGGAAAATGCCGGCGAGGTGACCCAGAATAAGGATACCATCGAACGCGAGGGTGTGATAGTTGGGCTAATTGGAGCCCGTTTCCAGCGAGCCGATGTAATGGAATACCAGGACATTATGATTACAAAGACCCAAAACACCCATGCCAGGGGATATGGTTTGCGCAACTCCTCCTCGACTGATACAGCCACGCCAGCCGCAGATCTCCGTAGAGTGTGGAGGGAATTCTACGGAGAACCCAGGGATTTCATCTATGGCGAAACACCCGAAAACGACGATCGCTTTGAGAAGGTTCCGAAAGGTAGGTTCGATCATCAGGTGATGCGCAAGCGATTTGGCATCAGTTTCGGTACCCTCCTCCTGGAGGCACAGTCGCGAGCCGAGAGGATTGGCAAGCCCGCCTATATCCATGTGGTGGGCATCGGGTTGGGTGTTTGGAGGGCCACCGAGCGGCAGAGGCAAACCTTCTTCGAAGCCTTTGAGGAACAATTGCACGCACTGGGCGAACGACTCAGTCACATCGGTGTGGTGGACTTCTCCTGGATGCATTTGACCAGAGTGGGCAGCCTGTACGATGGTGCCCTGTTTCCCGTGGACAAACATCCGCAAGGTGGCATTCGCATCCGCAGTTCGAAACGTAATCCCGCCGATAAACTGCCGGAGGACATGCTGCTAGTGGTCACCTATGCCTGGGATGGAAATGCCCTTCCCGGCAACGAATTTTGGGCGGTAAGTGATAGTTATATTGCATCCGGGTTCAAAGCCGGTAGATAGTAAAAAAAATTTTTTTTTTTCCAAATTAATAAATATTGGTTGGATATTTTTGTAACCAATGGAAATAAATACCTTGTGTACTATGAAGAGCCCCCCTGTATGAAACCCGCTTATTTAAATATTTTAAATTTATTTTGTTTTTAAGCTAACAAAATTAAAATATTACAATTAACGACAGATAAAATGCGGTCCAAAATTATAGAATATATATTTATATATTTTTTACAAAGCTATATGATTGTTAATCGAATTTTGCCTACAGGGAAGCCTGACCGGCAGTGGAGATCCGGCAGCCGCTTGTTCCACTTTGATCTCAGAGCTCCAGAATACCCACGTGAATGTGGACTACATGAGTGGGTCCAATCTGCACATCGCATCCCTGGAGCATGGATTGCTTCATGTGGGTGATTACGCCAAATGTATAACTGTCTAAATCTCCTTTATATATTTTTACACTAACTAATACTCCATTCAGCTATATTATATAAAAATGTATACAAAAAATATAAGATGCTGCATTACAACATAACTTTAAAAGCTCGAAAACTTGCTAAAATATATACATACAACTGTGTTACCTAAGGGAGTATTCTAGTCTAGAAACCTGAATTTTAGGCATTTTTTAATGTATAGGTAAAAAAAAAAGATTTTTTCAAAATTTCTAGACCAGAATATACCCTAAACTATAAAATCAATTACTTCATTTTATATAAACTGTGTTATTATAAATAAATGTTTTACAAATATTATAAATATTAATTTTTAATGGCTGTACAAATATGATGGTAAAAAATATTTGTTATTTTTGAAAAACCTTAAAATCATTAATCGCAGGAACTAAAAAGAGGACTGGCTTTGTAGCCGAACAGAAGTATTTATGGTTTGAACGAAACAGCTCTATTTTTCGATTTGATAAGAATGTGGTCTTTGTTTTCCAGGCTGAAAAGCGTGACTCAATGGTATTTAATCATACCCGACTGGCAGCTGTGAAAATAAGCCACCATATTCCAAATGATTTGGGGCCCGCATTCTACCAAATCCATTGAACGAGAAATTGATTGTGTGTTAACCATTACTGAGTTCGTTTATTGAAATTGAATAGAATTATTAGCTGTCAAATGACAGAAATGTGATATTATTGTATGTACTGTATATAGATAGCAACAAGTAACACAAGATCCCATATATTTCGGCTATCGCCGGCGTTATATGGGCCAAACAATGCAGTTCAACGCAATACCCTCTCACAATCCCAAACTTGTTTTGGTTTTTTTGTTGTTTTTTGTTGTTTTTTTTTTGGCATTTTTGTTAGGTATTAAAAGTTATTCGTATTTAAAACATTTTGTTCTGTATACTTCTGAAACAGCGTATATCGAAAACAGTGATATAACATTCACAACAATTTTTATGCTCAAATATATTATTATTCTTTATCAACAATAGCATTATATGTACCGGTGCACACGCCCCCGATGAAGAGTGCGGCATTACATAGCCCCATCTCCCTCGATTTCCCACTGTTTATCGATTGCACTACGTATGTACACTTGTCTTTATATATATATATATATATAATATATATACGATATAACTAGATATAATATAATTTCGTTACATTATTTTGTAGGTAATTAGTGCGAGAAACAGTACAATAAAATCGAAAAATCAAGCACAAACATGCTTTAAATATGAATTAGTTCAAGGTATATATGCAAGTAGGTAGGTATCGTTAACGCTTTTAGGTTTAGTTTTGTATTTTTAGGTAATATGTAGGTATATAATGATGGCAAACTGCATGAGGATCTGAGTGCTCTCCATTACAAAAAAGAACAAAAACCTGACAACTATACAATCGAACTTTAGTTACTCACATTACTCTCGCATTTCTCAAACTTAAATCTAAATCGTAAACTATATGTGTATACATACATACATATTTAATTTGTGACTTTCACTTTCAGCTAGAAATTCCATAGTTTTTTGTAATATTGAAACTTTCATTGGTTGAAAATTAAATACAAAATTTCACTGTTGTGAAAATAACAACCAAAATGATATCTTACATGAACACAGAGAAATAGTTTAAAACGTGGCTTAATCATATGTATGTTCGCTGTGCAAATAGAAACAAATACATACTTAACATAATAGTCGTAATGAAAATACATTACAAAAAAAAAAACAAACAAAAATATTGCTTTAAAGCTTCTTATCAACATTATTTCTCTTTGTGTTTTAATATCCGAGCCCTAAATATGAAAATGAATGTGATATGGAAATCATATTCCCTTGTACAAATTCGTTATGATTTCGTGTTTTTTTGCGGGGAGGGCTCGTTATTTGGAGGGGAGGGCAGGAATAATACCAATACCAGATATAGCATACAAAAGCAGCTGTGTGGTTATAGCATGTTAATTAAACCCAATTGAGAACAGCTTTTTGAGTCACCCAAGTTCGACTGCACATATATATGCATATATGTATGTATATGCTTCTTTCTTATATAACATATATAACAGAGCGGCGATAACAAGAAATCACTCGTCATGTCCGTTTATTGTACTGCGTGTGTTGCGTTGCGTGTACGTTGCACGTCATTCTTTGGTGGATGGGCGTATGTTTATGGAGGCGCCAGCGCTTGTCCATCCGCCTCCGTAATGTTCTATCCATTTTACGCAAGCCCAAAACCAGGTTGGACTTGGACTTCGACTTGGACTTGGATTTGGACCAAACCACAGAGTCCTTACTCATCGTAATCGCTGATGAGCAGACCGCGCTTGCCGAATCCCAGCGATGAAACGGCGGACAGATTGGGCGTCGTATCGATTCCCTCGAAAAGATCGCTGGTCGCCGAGCTGTTCAGCGAGTTGAGGGTCACATTGAAGGTCGATCTGCCGCTGGCCGTGTGGAATCGCTCCTGGAGCTGCTGCTGCCGTTTCAGGCGGTCCAGTTCCTCCCGCAGCGCCTGGTTGCTCGCCTTCAGGCCATCCGCTTCCCTCAGACAGTCACGCAGCCTTTTTTTTTTTTGGGTGGGAACAGACAGAATTGGAGTAATTTGTTTATTTTCTGGTGGATCACATTGGGCAGTTCTTGTTTGTTTTAGGGCGAAAACCGGCTAATCTCATGTTCGAGGCTTGAATCATTGAGACATTCGAGAGTCCAGCTCATTTTACATAAGATAAATGTAAAAAATAACCGCTTTGTGGGTTTTTTCCCCTGCTATCGTGTTCAGCACTTGAAATTAAAGATGAATAATTGGTGTGTCTCTTCGTATGTTTACCCCCCCAATACATCTGATACATATTGTAAACAAATTCAAGTTTAAAAGCCCCTGAAAAACAAGAAACTCCTGTGTTCTGTACTAACACCTCAAAATTACAAATGCTTAACTAAACGTTTGACGATTCAAGAGTTTTATAAATGTATACCTTATGTACATATCCTTGCAGGTAAAAAAATTTAACGTTCATTAACATATTGTAAATGCTTAAAAACAATTAAGTAATTTCGATTTCCCAATAAATTTGTCGTATGAACTATAGTTGATTTTTATAAAAACAAAAATGTGATTTTAAAATCAGAAAAAACATTGTTACCTTCAGTTATACATATGTTGAAAATCAAAGAAGGTATGTCATTATTGCTATTATTTTGCAATAATATAACATTTTTAAACTCAAAATCTTAACGTACTTGAAAAGCAGATGGACGGACAATCGGATAATTCATCTGGTGAAGTCTATCAGAATATTTAACATTTTATAGGATTTTTCCTAAATTATAAAATCCCAAAAAAAAAATGAAGAATGGCCCATTGTATCCTTTTGTAAAATATATATATACAAAATATACCACTTACGTGTCAATCTCGCCCTGCATGCTCTTGATGTACTCGCACGCCTTGATCAGAATCTGCGACTTGGAGTCGTTGGGCGGCGTGCGTCCACTGGAACTGCTGGGATTGGAGCCAATCTTAGGATTGGAGCTGCTGCTGCTGCTGGACGTGCTGGTGCTGGTCGTGCTCGTACTCCCACTGGTGCTGGGACTCGTGCTGGCCTCACAGAAACTGGAGGAGCTGGTGGAGCTCAGGCTGGGCAGCATCTCCTTGAGCTTGAAGATCCAGCTGTTGATCTTGTCACGACGCCGGCGTTCCACCTCGTTGTGGGTGGCACGTCGCTTGTCATCGCGCTTCTTGTACGCCTCCAGTTTGCTGGTGGGCGTTTGGCTAGTCGTCGTCGTTTCTGGCTGGGATCGCTGCGCCTGGGCGTGGCAGCCATAGAGGACACTGGTGGTGGTGCTGCCCGAAGGAGTTGGGTTCACTGCGGGCTTACAGGCAGCAGCAGCAGCAGGAGTAGCCCTACGCTTTTCTCCACTCAGCGTTTCCAGTTCCAATTTGATGGCCGCCTTCGCGGGCTGCTGCTGGGCCACCAAACTGGCGGTATCCTTGACCAGATATATCTCACAGCCAGTGGGCAGCTGCAAATTGGTGGGCAGCAGCGAGTGGACATCCAAATCGGAGCCGGGTTCCTGCTTAATGGCATAGTACTCCTGCGAGTCGTCCGAGTTCTCATCGCCGCAAATGGTGAGGAATATCTGGGCACCCTGGCTGCTCATCAGCGCATTTCCCGTTGCGCTGGTGAGGATTAGGCTTTGATGGCCGACCAGGGCCTCCGATAGGTCAGCCGAATGACTGGGAATATTCGCTATAAGGTGGCCGCCTGGAGGATGGGTAGCCAGATTATTGGAGGTGGATGTGGATGTGGAGGTGGAGCATGATGACGTTGAGGTGGAACCGAGTTCCATTTCCAGACGTGGCCGCTTTCGCACATTCATCGTGGCATTGGATGTCCCAATCGCAATCCCAATCACGTAACCCTGGATCTTCCCGGGATCCCCTCTATAAGCTCAGATCCTGGTTGAATGGTATATATGTATATCTATAGCCGATGGCCGATCTGCTCTATTACTAACTGCCGACTGCCACGAGGATTAGGACTTGGTTTCGCACTTGGTTTGGAGTCGAGCGCTTCGCCGGATTCTTGTATTGTGCTCGCACGGCCATTTAACAACACAATTTGTTGTGTTTTTTTTTTGTTAACAAAATTATTTTCGTTTAGTGTGCCCGCCGGCGGGCAGCGAATAAATGCCGACAAATACACATAAGCAGGTGTTGGGCAACGCGAAAATACCAAATGTAGTATTTTTATGAGAAAAAGCTTACAGTACTAGTTGCTTTAAATATTAAATTCAAAATTGTAGATTCAATGTCAAGGATATAAATTAAAAACAGTCAATTAAAAGCTTTCTAAACAGTTTGCAAGTTATAAATATATTATTAAGCATCGGCTTGGAAGCTTTTAAAAAGAGTTAAAATTAGCTTCTCTAAATTTTGGTAGAGTATCTTAATAAAAATAATAATTTGGCAGCAAATTATAAGATAAGATTACTAGATAAATAAAACTGAATAAACTAAATGTTAACCAAACATAAATAAACAATATGAAAGAAAGATCAAATCAATTTTTAATATTTTTTAAGATTAATATATAGGAAAAAAATATTTGGAATCATTTTTTTATAAGTCATATTATTCAAAATAAAAGTTGCGTAAACGTAGTACCCAATGGCAAAAAGCGTGACAGCTGGCCACACTGGCCGTGCCAAAATGTCGTTGACTTCGCAATTCGTTGCAAATTTGAAACGCTTTCGCCTGGTGACCTTCGACGTAACGGACACGCTGCTCCGCCTGGAGGATCCGCTCCTTCGCTACCATCGAACGGCGGAGGAGTTCGGGGTCACCGGAGTGGATCGCCGTCGGTTGGAGCAATGTTTCCGCCAGCAATTCAAGTCGATGAGCCGGGAGCATCCAAACTTTGGCCGTTTTTCGCCGGGATTGGAGTGGCAGCAGTGGTGGCTCCGACTGGTGACCCAAACCTTTGGCTGCGTGGACCAGGGGCTGCCAGCTGAGAAGCTCGATAGGATTGGCCGCCAACTAATTGCCCATTACCGGACCAAAGCCGGATGGAATCATGTCGATGGCGCCCAGGAACTGGTGCAGTGCGTCCGCGATGCCGGCAAATGTGTGGGCATCATCTCCAACTTTGACCCCTCACTTCCGAAAGTTCTCGATTCGATGGACTTCGCCGGCAAGTTCGATTTCATCCTGACTTCGTACGAGGCGGGTGTCATGAAGCCACATCCGGGGATCTTTGAAATCCCCTTGGAAAGATTGCAGATCACAGCGGATCAGGCTCTTCACATCGGCAACAAACCGGACTTGGACTACGAGGGTGCACGGAATTGCGGCTGGAGCGGATTGCTGGTGAATGGCGGTACTGATGGCCACCACCACTCCTTTGCCACTTTATCCCATCTTTTGGAGGCCTTGAACACCCAGCAGATCCAATGGTGATCCACCAAAGAAACTTGAACTCAGGAACTCTGTTTTCATCGATTAGCTCATGGCTGTTGTTATTTTTGTAAATTTCTTAAGGATTAACAAACAGAACGGGGTGTTGTATAGTAAATGGGTTTAAACTAGTGTTAAATATAAATACGCAATAGCCTAGTCGCGATTATCCAAACTTTGTTGGGACATTCGAGGGGAGGTCCTGGTCCTTCATGTTGTTGATTATTATTAAAAATAAATGGTATCGGCACTTTCCTAAAAGACTAAAATGACAACTTAATTCCTATCGAACGTGTCACATATTAATAATATTTAGAGATGTCTTTAGAATTCTTGGCCTTAATTAAAGCTAAGCTTTAATGTCAAAGAAGTAGACTAAAAGAATTGATTAAATAAATACTTGATTTTAACGAAAAAAGTGGGTTTTATAAATCTGTTCTTTAAAACATAACCAAAAATTAACACAAATGTTTTAAATCAACCAAAGAAAGTGAAATCCATAATTGCATGCGTTTACAGAATGTTTAACGAGTTTACAATTGATAAAATGCTTCAATATTTAAAACAAACAGATAATCTACTTCTCTAAGAACCTAAGACTTGGGGAATACATTAAATACGCTATTTATTTATCTAGCTATTCAAGCTGGTTATAGTGCTACCCAAAACCTCCGCTCGAACATTGCCTGCTTATATGCCTAGTCCGATTAAACTATTCCTGCAGACTTAACCAGTATCTCGGTTAACTTATGTACACACACACACACGACCTAATACTATATGAACAGATTAAAAGTAAAAGCTAGTTTGTGACCCGAAGTTTTTGGGGAATGTGTGCCAGTTGTGTGGTGACCATTTACTGACCATTTACTATGTGGCCTTGGTTGCTTTGGCGGGCATTTGTGCCTTGGCTGCCTTCAGTTGCTCCAGATTGAACTGCTTACGTATCTCGGTGGACACCTGTCGAATGACCGCATCCGTGTTGGCCTTGAGATCACGCTCCAGGACGTCTATATCCACATCCTTGCTCTCCAGTCGCATCTGCATGTCCGAATAGAAGTCACAAAAGAGCACTGGTTCATCGGAGCCATTCGGTGTCCTGGTGCTGCAATACTGTCCCCTGCGATGGAGATCATCATTGTTGGTTTGGGCATCCAGGCCGAGAAGCAATCGTCTCGCTCCCAGCGGCAATTGCTGCTGGATCAAGCGTTCGTGGTTCTGGGAGATGTGATGTTTCAGCTTCTTGAACTCCTTCACCTCGTTCTTCATGTACTTCACATAGCTATACATCTTGGAGGTTTTCTTGGTGAGATTCTCCAGGCAGCTGATGAAATTTCGCACCTGCTGAGTGCGTGGCAATGTGCTGGGGTCCAGACGCTCGGCCTCATCGAAATGCTGCAGCGAGCGATTGAAATCGTGCTTCATGGCCAGAGCGGAGGCCAAGACCACATGGTTTTCGGCCACATGTGGGGCGTGCTCCACGGCAGCGGTTAGTATCAAGTCGGCATCGGCTAGCCGGCCCATTCGGAACAGAATAGTGCCCAAACTGAGCAGGGGAATGTCCTTGAAGATCGGTGGAGCCAGAAGGGCAGCTAATCGGGCACAGGGCAGTGCTTCCCGCGCGTTTCCCCGCATTCGCCAGTAGTAGGAGCTCAGGGTGTGGAATTTCCACGAGGCCGGATGATGCTGCAGTCCGTCGACGGCAAATCGACGTGTCAGCTCCACCGTGGCCATGCCCACATTGGTGTCGTGCTCGCGTTCCAAGAACGCTGCAGCCAGGACCTCGGGTCGAAAACTATCCAGATGATCGTAGGTGGCAGGTCCCACACTCAGGCGATGATAATCGCTGCAAATCGGCTCCATTCCCATCGCGGAGGCACTTTTCTGGGCATGCAGCTGTCGCTGGTCCGGCAGATTGATCCTTTTCAGCTGTTCGGGCGTGATCTTCAGGTAGGACATCCGCTTCTCCAGCATGTAGTAGTCCATGGCGCATTTGGCCTGCTCCGCCAGGTCCTCCCCGAATCTCATCGAGAACCGCAGGTGCTCCACTATCTGCTCCCGCTTGCGCAGCAAGTCCAGATAGGACCGCTCCACGTACTCACTGTACCTGATCTGCTGGAGAAATGCCGCCAGATTCTGGGGCTCACGCATGTGAAAGGGCGAGTCCAGTTTGGGCACAATCTGCTCCTCGCGGAGGACCCAGTGGTTGCAGGCCAGCAGCAGGTGGAAGATGCCGAGCAGCACGGCCAGCGGACACAGGCGCATCTTGCAGGTGGATTCCAATTTCGATTCCAAGCCCGGGGAATCCAAATCAAACAAAAAAAAAACTCGGTAAATCTAAACAAATTCGCCGGGGTGTGACCAGAGCGGAGAATCGGAAAAATACTGAGTCAAGGTCTCACTGCGAAACAGACAGTATTTTTCAAAGAGTATATATATATATTAGCGGTTGTTCTTGAAACTGTTTATTGTTGTTTTTTTGCGCCGGCTGTTATTTATTTATCGTTATCGGACTGAATGAGCGCAAACAAAGTGAATCCAAGATGAGCTTTCTAACCTTGTTAACGTTGTGCCTTGGGCTCCTGGTGATCCAGCCGCGGCCCCTCGAATCCCTGGAACCCATCACAATGAGCGCCATAGGATTCGGGGCCCTGGGAATAGGTGCTTACTTCAAGGAGTATACGTACTGCCGATTTACCGAGTGCTGCGACGATCGCAGCATTCCGGGCGACATAAATGGTAATTATATAGGGCTACTAAATATATGCATGTATGTATGTGCCTACGTTTTAAAGTGGTGATTCCCCGGCAGAGTTGAATGCATCGCTGAAGAGGACATTGTTTGGCCAGCACATTGTGGCCCAGCATGTTGTGCCGGCCCTGATGGCCCATTTCAGCAAGAGCAGCAAATCGAGGAAGCCGCTGGTCTTCAGCTTTCACGGCCAGCCGGGAACGGGCAAGAATTTTGTGGCGGAGCAGATTGCCCAGGCTCTGTACTTGGAGGGCTCCAAGTCTGGCTATGTGGCCAAGTATCTGGGCCAGGCCGATTTCCCCCAGGCGGAGAATGTGGGCCTCTACAAGGCGCGGATCAATCGCGAGGTGCGTGCCCACCTGCGCAGCTGCCCACGATCCCTGTTCATCTTCGACGAGGTGGACAAGATGCCCAGTGGCGTGTTCGACACGCTCGCCTCGCTGGTGGACTACAATGCCTTCGCCGATGGCACGGACAATACGAAGGCCATCTTCATATTCCTCTCCAACACGGCAGGCAGTCATATAGCCGATCAACTGGGCAACTTGATGAAGCATGGTACACTGCGGGAGGACACCCGTCTGAGCGACTTTGAGGCGCTGCTGAAGAAGGCCGCCTACAATCTGGATGGCGGACTGAAGAGGACCACCCTGATCGATGCGCATGTCATCGACCACTACATTCCGTTCCTGCCCATGGAGAAGGTCCATGTGGTGCAGTGCCTGGAGGCCGAGTTCCGCCGTTGGCATCGCCAGCCCGATAAACAGATAATCGGTGATATCTTGAGTTCATCCATTAGCTATGATCGCACGCATGGCCTGTTCGCCATTTCCGGCTGCAAAACGCTCGAGAAGAAGGTGGCCATGGCCATCAACTAGAAGGGTAGTCAATTAGTGATGCATGCTAGAGCCTCTTTCACATTTCGTATTGTATTTTTTGAGAATATTTTAAAGAATAAAGTTTAAGAGGGCATTGTAACTACCAGGGATTTAGCCACTTGAGGCGGGCATCTTTGCGCAGCAGGTCGGTGTCCAGTCTCTTGGGCTGCTCATCGTAATCCTGGCGAGCTTCCAGCCGGATCTCAATGGGTCCCAGGTCCTTTGTAACCAGGCACTCGCCGTTCTCCTTCAGTATCGTGTGCCGGACATCCTGGGCAGTGGGCTCTCCATAGGGAAACGTCACCGGGGTGACCTTCACCAGGTGCTTGATCTTCCACAGGCGCGCATTATTCTCCGGGATGTTCTTGACCACCGTGAAGTCGCTCTGCTTGCCATCCAGCCCAAGATCCTTGAGGATTCGCTTCTCCCAATAGGGATTACCCTTGACCGGCTTGATGCGCTGCACCCGAAACAGTTTCGACGGCTCCACGGCGGGATCCTGGTGATCCGGGGTCCTGAGCAAAGGCAAAGTAATCCATTAAAACACTTTATTAGGTTTCTTTTTCAAATCTATTACCTGGGATAGTAGGTAATACCCTCGAATTTCTGGCCATTTTTGTAGAGAAACTTCTTGTTGTGCTTTCCGTAGCTCCGCACCGACCACGTGCTGCTCCTCAGTGGGGTGATCAGTTTTCCAATGTTCATTTTGATTAATTAATTTTGTTATTTACCGGAAAATGCAAGGAAAACAGCAAGGTGAGGTAGTTATGAAATACAATAACAAGAAGTGTATCGATTGTTATCGATAGGCAACAGTCCTGTTATGCGCAAAAATGTTAACCGTTTGGGGTGCTGTTAAATTATTTCGCTAAATTGAAGAGAAATCCCAAGATATTTATATAATTTTTTTTTAGTTGTGAAATTTTCAGGGATGGTTATTTGTACTACTCATTTTTTTCTTTATCAGCAAATGGTTTTTTCAGTTAAGCCAATAAATACTTATGAAATAATAAAAAAAATTTAAAAGGCAGAAAATGTTTATGATTTGTTCTTATATTATTTCCACAAACACACGTTTGTTAAATTGTTAAAAAAAAAAAACAGAAAGTTTAACCGCCCTCCGGTAACCGGTTGCTGTAAACGTCACTTAAACAGTGCTGTTAGGCACAAAAGTTGGGCGCGCATTTGAACTTAAAATCTCGAACAGCATCCAAGGGGGTGGTTTCTCTGGCGAAAAAGGGGCGGTCTTTTGGCAAAATCATCGCCATCTTGTTAGCTACAATTGGCTCTTGTCAGTGAGGGTGGATTATTTGGCATTGGTGGATTTGCCAGAAAATGGGGTTGTTTGGCTTTTTGCTATAAAGGAAGCTGTAGTCTACTGACCGGAAGTCAGTTCGTTTTTACGTGTCCCTAAGGCGAGCAGCAAAAGACCAGTGGATAACAAAGATATCTTCAATCTAGGAATATTCTGCACCTGTGACTGCTGTAAGTTAAAGTTTTTAAAGTGGATGTACATAGGTGAAAAACTAACAAAAATCCCATTAAAAAATGTACAAATATATAAACAAATATGAAGTACATAATAATTTAATTTTAAAGTCGTTCTAAATAAATAAATTGGGATGACAATTAAATTTATACTGCATTAAATAGTACAACATTAATAACTGCCAAACAACGTTTTAAAGTGCTGGAAAGTTAACAAATGTATGCAAAAAACTATAGCAAATGGCTTATAAAATCTAGTTAAATAATAATATAAATATTAAATACCTAAAAAGTGACATATAAAATCGTTGCCAATTGATAGTTTTATGATTTCCCGTCACAAATATATATAATAGTTGCTTTGGTATAAGGTTTGGTACAATTCATTTTTTTAAACTGAAAATGTATGTTATATATATAAATTCAAATATAATTTATAAAAATCCGGAAATCTCAAAAGTAATACCAAAAGTGTTTGGGTGACGTATTTAACGTTCGTCACCATGTGCACTATTTTACTTAGATACTGTGGTTTTAGAGCCTCTGGGGATTTACGAATCCCTGAAACTTCTTAAAATTAGATCAGATTCCTTCTCTTTTTTGCTGAGAAAACCCAAGAGAGCAATGGGCACGTATTTGACCTAATGCAATTTGTGCGACTTTTCAGAGAAACCCATTAAATCAATAATGTACATATATATAAAATCATACGTAAACCGAATTTCCAAATTTACCAATTGAGGGGTTACGATTTTTGAGGTTTACCAACTCCCGCGGGCGAATAATCGTGCCGATTGTTCGGCTATTTGTGTAGGTGTGAAAATATGCTGCGAATAAACAATAAACACAATAAGTACAATAAAAATAAATGAAAATAATAGCAAACGCAAACAGAATGCGGCGAAAGGGGTGTGTTTTCACCCTTCATCATAAATGTCCACAAATGAACCATAAATAATGCAAGTGGTAACCTCTTTGATTTGAGGGCTTGCAGATATTGGGGTGAATGATTCCGCAATATCTAACATTGTATGAATTAAAAATTAATTCGATACTATTTCCCTTTTGCTTTGAACAAAAAATTAAAGCCAAATATGTTTTGTTAAGTAGATTTTTTATCCTCAGTACATCATAACTTGATTTTAAGGTAATGCCACTTTGAAATCGGCTTTATATTGGTTAAGTGATGGTCTTTATAATATCATTTATATAATTTAATTGTATATATATATGTATATAATACCTTAATCCCCGATTTAATCCCTTTTCAGCTTTTGGGAGCAGGCAGAGCAGCTTGAAACCGAGTTCCCCCTCAAGGTTGAAAAAACAAGGAGCTCCAAAATGGTCTACGACATGACCCACATGGCGGCGGGTCCGCCCCAGAGTATTTCGCTGAGTCGCTACTATTTGCCCGATGAGGATGAGATGGTGGGTGCGAATAATCCGCACCTGGTGAACGAGGATTATGCGGCCAGTACGACGTTGGACATCGACAAGCGTTTCCAGGCGCGAATGGCCTGTGAAACGGCCGCCCAGCCGGCCCCGCCTCCGCCGCCCACGCCGGCCCCTCGTCGCCGGACCACGCCCATTGCCCACCTGGATCCCTCGGAACTGGTAGGTCTGTCGCGGGAGGAGCGTCGTCGAAGGAGGAGGGCCACTCTGAAGTACCGGACGGCACATGCCACCAGGGAACGCATTCGGGTCGAGGCCTTCAATGTCTCCTTTGCCGAGCTGCGCAAGCTGTTGCCCACTTTGCCGCCGGACAAGAAGCTCTCCAAGATCGAGATCCTCAAGCTGGCCATCTGCTACATTGCCTACCTCAACCATGTGCTGGAGACCCCCTGAGACAGCGCCGGCGCCTCCAGCTTCGCCACCAGTTGCCTCTTCAACGAGGAAAATTTCTTCGCTCCCCCGTAGGAGGTGGGGGGGCGGCAAGGGGCGTGGCCTATGCGGTTATCCTGTATCAGATAAACGGATAACTTGGCCTGTCGCTAGCCCAATAAGCAGGGTGTCGCAACCGAACATAATATAATAATATTAACTGGCTTGCTAACCTACGGTTAAAATATTTAGCCACAAGTTAGTAAACAAGAAAGTCAGGGAAAGTGTCTACGACAAGCTAAACAAACCGAAACAATGAATGGAGTTTGCTTGTTAACCTACGGTTACAATATATAACCAATAGTTGTCTAACCAGAAACCTCAAAGAAAAACTAAAAGTTCCCTTACAACTGATAAAAGGACACCAAGTAAGAACTGTATTTGAACCTTACACTATTTAAGCGGAACTGAACCTAAGTTTAATTTATTTAACTACTGGATGGTTAGCACCAGGAACGCCTGGTTTCTCTAGACTAGTTGAAAAACAAACTGCACATAAATCAAGTCTTTTGTTTACTATTTTTTGAATAAAAATGAATGTCCCTATGACCTGCTAAATTATGATTACAACGTTTAACCAAAGGTTAAAATACTTAATGCGTTAAAATTAAAGAAAGTTTTCCCATTTTTGTTTTTGAATATAAATTCTTAAACGTAAGATGGTAAAATGATAATAATAAGTTAATTTTATTCACCCGATTTGTAATTTTGAAATTCTATTAAACTAGGTTAAAGTGTAAAATTTCCAATGTTAATATAAACTTATCGAATGCTTACTGCGCCTTACACTATAATACGAAATGCAATATCTTATAACTCTACAGATTTGATGTATAATATAAATATATAGTTTACAGAAAAAATCCTAAGCTATATGTTAAGCCCAAGTAATCTTAAACCATTGACATACATAAACTAGTACTAATTACATTTTTTTGTCTAGAAATTAAGTCGTGATATTTGTTTATACTCTAACTAAACTGTGCATGGGTGTGTATGTAAGCCAGACAACTAACAAATATAATATATTAATATGCATACATATAAACAGAACATAAACGTGCTTTATGAGTTATTTTTGTGGACTTTTACGATATTCCTCAATCTCTTGGAGTGAAAATTCCCCCTGAATTTCGGACCTCAGCTGGTGTGGCTGGATTTTCCATTTGTTTGGACGTTTTGCTTGGCAAAACCAGATGCTAACCGCCCCCCAAACCCCCCAAAAACGGGCGTGTCCTGTGTGAAAAGCCCCGCCCTCTTGGGAAAAAACAGGGCCACCTGTGTCTCAGCTGTCAGACTGGGTCTGTATTTTAACAAATAGTCAAAGCCTTGCCGCAAAAATTGTTTTGTAATTCAAAATTTAGGAAAAGGAATATTGAAAAAATTCAAAAATGGCCCTGAATTTTAGCGCGCAGCAGGTGAGCTTCAAACACCCTGTATTTCTTTCTTTTATTGGGAGGCTGTCTGCCAGAGTTGCCAGCTTTCTATAAATAACGGCCTAATTTGGTTGGTACGGGTAACGGTATAAATACATCCATTTATCTATATATATATAAATGTGCATGTAATCATTTTCGCAACGAAAATAACAAAAATAACAACAACGTGGCAATGGCAACCAATTTGCTATCCTTTTCCATCCTGGAAACAAGGAGCTTGCATTCCGACAGTCTGCTATTTTTGTGGGTGTGGGTGTACAGACGTCTATAAACAAAAACAATGGCCAGGCGACAAAATGGTTGGCTGGAATTAAAGCTTAAGTCCGAGCAGTTAAATTTTCTAACTTCAAAGCCCTACATATTTTTACTATCCGTTTTTGTTTTTTAAGTTTTTTTGTAAATTTGTTTTGTTGTGCTTGTAAACCAATATTTTTTTTAGATCCTGTCATTAATTAGTTTACAATATTTTGACTAGAATAAATACTATATGCTTTCAGAGTTGCTAATTTATTTTTTACAGTCAAATAGGTAAACTTTTTCTGCTTAATTTACGTATAATTCTGACTATCTGACCTGCTTGACAACATTTTGTCGTGATATTTGCTAAGCAGTTGGATTTAATTGCATTTTTATATTAAAAACAGATTATTATTTCATTCATAAAAATTCAAAGATTTTAAAATGTAAGCATTATAAAAATGAAAAGTGTGTCGCCTGTTTTTTGGGCTTTTGTTTTTGAGTGACGTACGCATTTTCCCTTGCCTTTCGCCCCTTGCACATTTGCAAATAGCGACAGTTAAAGTTTATTTACTTGGTAACGGTAACTTTGGACCAGGCCTTTTCGCTTTTTGCCTTTGGGCCCCCTTCGATTCGAATTATTTCCCCATATACACACACAATCGCAACGGAATCGGTTAACTGACGAGAAACTGAAGGAATTTCACCAAAAAATATATACATATTTCTTAAAAAGTGCAAAGAAAATATTCTGGTGATGGTTTCATTTAATGGTTTTCCAATTGGCCAAGTCGACAGCTGTTCGGGAAATTGATTTGAAGGAATAAAAGGAGGAGGAAGTGGAGAAGAAGGAGGAGTAGGAGTTACCAAAAACCGGAGGACACGGAACTTTGGACCAAAGGACAGTCATCGACAGAGCGTGAAATTAGCTTAAGTGGTTTTGTCGCCTCGACCAGGACTTGTGCCACCCGTAAGTCCTTGGCTACAAGTGCAGCAGGATATATATATAAACGATACAAAAAGCACCTCATAGCCATGGGGTATCCGAACACAACTTATCCCATCTCATACCCATCCCATCCATCCATCCTTGCACGTGTTTATCAACTAGCTTTTTGACTGTCTAATCCTGCGTATGCGGATGCGGATGAGGATGAGGATGCGAATGCAAGGACACCATGTGATAAATTGCACCCCAGAGGGTTGCCATAAAAATCATCGCTTTGTGGAGGGGTGACCTCTACACATCTCAACCCAAGGGGTGCAAACTATCTATTCTATGGCATACCCATTCAATCCCATTCAATCCCATCCAATGCCATCCATCTGGACCAAGTGTTGTAATCTCTATTGTAGCTCCTTTGTTGCTAATTGAGTTTAAAATCAATTTGTATTTTTCACGCTGGAATTTGCTCGAGAGCAAGAGCAAAAGGAAGTGGTGTATTGTGTAATTGCCGTGCAAATTTAATTACAGTGCCAACATCCATTGTGGTGACCAGGCACGCGCTGCGAACGCTGCGAACGTGTGTGCCCTGTCACTCCCCCAAATCGCCCATTGTGGCACCCACTGTACCACCCACTACTGTACACCACCCACTCCGCCCACTCCACCCATCGATCAAGGCCTCAATCAAGTGTTGACAACCCAGTTTCCCGAGTATCGAGTTACCAGCGGTTGGCCATTTGCATTCCTTAATTGAAATCCGTCCGCGTGGGAAGACTTCTCAGCTTCTCAGACCTGAAGGTCCCTTTAACAAAGTTGTAAAACCACTAAAACTTCCTTTAACTAGGTCACATCCGTACTTTCTGGGAAGCAAAGAGTTTCAAACTTTGGCCTTACATCATGATTTTCTCGGAAATATAACACAAATAACTTTAATATATAAAATATATTTCGTTTAAATCTATTAAGTCTAAGGCCTTACTTTTCAATTACATTAGTTCTTAAAATTGAATTATTTTTAATAATTATTCTTCTTTTATAATAACAAATCATGTTTATATGATAACTTGCATTCCAATTAGGTTTCTCATTCTTTGTTGTTTATATATATTTTATTTGTTCGAATGTCTATTCAGTTCTGTAATATTATTTTTATGATGACAAACAATTTTCATAAATTGCGGACATATTGTTACATTTGATTTTTTATATTTCTCGTATCCTATACCTGTTTATGGGTAATCCCTCTGATAAATGACCCTGGCTTAAGGATCAGAGCCTCTGTTTTTTAACGCGACTGCTTCCAAACTTTCGAAAGGCAAACACAAACTCAAACTCAAACTCAAACACAAACAAGGCATTAAGTGGCATTAGACAAATGCCTTTCTACACATGTTCCGGCGTAGAGATTACGCCGTGTAATTGGTCCCACCTCCTGGATTTCTGGATTTCTGGAGTCCTAGACCCTTTGTTCCGGGGTTGGTTCCGGTTTTCGATTCGGATGATATGGGGTGGGCTTTTTTATCAATTGGCTTGTTTGCCCGGGGACCATAAATAAGGGAATTACTCGAGGCGAGAGACCGATTTCCTAACAGGTGTCTTTCGACTTCTGGCAAAGCCCCTGTTTCCATCCTTATAACTTTCGATATCCGTCTGTTTATTGCAGTTCGAGAACCGATTTGAGTCGAAGCGTCTCAACAATTGGGAGTATCCGCGATTTTCCCCACCCCGCCCACGAGGACTACAGAAAAACGCCAAGGTGCTGGCGGCCAAAAACGGACATTTACTGCCCGGAGTTAAAAAGTACGTATTTGGGGAAGATACCAACTAAAATATAGAAAATATATATACAGATTTGGGAAATGTATTATTTATAGTTCTGTTATGTGGTTTAAGTGATACAGATATCCCATATGAACTGTAGCTTATGCTTTTCAAAACTATTCCATAGTAAATCGAATCTTGTTTTGAAGAATTCTAACAACTTAACATTTATTTATAGAAAATTTGTAGTATAATCTTATATATTTTTGAGTATTTCAAATAATATGTGAATAAATAGTAGATATTCAAAGGTATTACTTTTTTCAATGTTTTTGATTAAACTTTTTTTAATTAATCCCATCAAATCATTTTGTATATCTATATTACATTTTTTTAAACTGGAAATATTATTCAATTTTAAATTTTTTAATGTGATTGTGAACATCTTAAATTTGTGTGATGTAATAAAGCTTAAGCTCTTTTTGAAAACATCTTATATCTACTGTAAATTATACTTTCCAAAGATATTAAATCAAATTTTGTTTTGAAAGCCTATAAAAACATAAAACTTATTTATACAAAACCTTAATATTTTTATATCTGTAAAAATGTATGTATATAAGATCTTGTGATAAAAGTAAGTTTTCAAAAGAATAAAATCCTTTAGGTTTTTTTTTTTAATTTATTTAAAAATTTTGTTTTATTATATAATTTTTATAAATAATTTTTTGGATTTCTTCCTTTAAATTAAACCTCTTTTAATTCTCAAAGGCGTTTTATATTGAGAAGGATTTGAATATTAATTATAAGTTTTTTGTCTATTGATTGTCAAAGGCATTATTTATTGCGAAGGATTTGAATGTCCCAATATTTAATATTAATTATTACTGGTAAATAAATCCCCAGGGAGGGCAACTCCTTTGGGCAATATCGTGGGACCTTTGCCCTTCCGCTGCGCATAACGCGCAGCTTTTGCGCCCACTACGATGCCTGTCTGAGTGGGCGGTACAAGTTCGCGGCCTTTCCGCGCGACCTTTGCAGCTGCCAGCGGGAGAACCGGAGGGCGCTGGCCTGCGACCAGCGGATGACCTTGGGCCAGGAGGGCGATCCCCGTTGGATGCGCCCCAATTGCCAGACCAAGTGCGAGGCCCTCCGGCAAATTCAGGACGTGCTCGACCGTAGCCAGCGCTACAAGCGCACCAAGTGCCAACTGGTGGTAAGTAGGGGTCACCATGTGGGTCACCACCCACACCGTTTTTCATTTAGACACTTCATTCCCAAAAAATTAATATTAAATAAATAATTTTATTAAATCAAAATGTTTTCTTTAAGGTAGAAAACATAAACTTTTTTTTTTGTATTAATTAAAACTTAATTAAATATATTTGTTTTACTGATTTCTTGTTTTATTGTAATATTTTAAATAAAAATGTTTTCTTTAAAGTAGAGAAATTTTCTTTACAGTTAAGACAAAATAAAGTTAATAGTTGTTCAATGTTGTATCAATTTCATCGATTTTAAAACGATATTTAGCGATATTAGATATGTAGAAATTTTCAATATATTATAAAATACTTTTTCGTTGTTGTGTCGATTTTTATAACTATTTTTGGCGGTATAAAAAATGTCGATATATAAAAAAATAAATATAATTACGACACATAATTAAACGCTATATTTTAAAAGGTTTCTCGTTTATAAGTCAGAAAGTTAAAAAAAATGTACACCATATTTTAGTAGTTTTTAGTTCACCCCAAGCTTTCACTGTCTCTTTCACCTGCACCCGCACCCATTTCTTAGCCCGAGAAGACCGTAAAGATGCCACCCAAGGCTTTCTTAGCAGCCTGTGCGGCGTCCGGAAAAAAACGTCGAAGACGCACTGTCACCGCTTTTTCGAAAACACGACCTGCTATATATGCCAATGAATCCGCGGCCTCATATGAAAATCGCCACAAGCCGAATCCACCTCCTGAGCCAACGACTAAGGACAAGAAAAAGGTTAAGGACACGGGAAAGGATAGGGATAAAGATAAAGATAAGGGCAAGGGCAAGAGCAAGGACAAAGGCAAAGGCAAATAGAAGATAAGGAAAAGCAAGGAATCTAAGGGCCAACTTATTTGGAGTCTATAATATTTTGGAAAACCGAACGACAAATAAATTATTAAATCACATTCTATTTTTTGTTATTTAATGTTAGTATTTATCGATAGTGACGTACACAAGCGCACTTCGATTTTTTAGCTTTATCTAGCTCTTATATACCAATAAAATAATTACTATTTTTATTATCATACTCATCTTCCATATCATTCGTAACACTTTTTAAAAATGTAATTTAGCATTTTTGTAAGATTGCATTTTTGATTGAATTAGCTTTTTACCAGGTACCAAATAATAAAGCCTTATCTTGATACTGATAGTCTTTTAAATTTTAATGTGAAGGTTAAAATTGTAGAACTTAACATACAGTACGACGCTGAGGTATTGTAAATGGAAGATAAGCAGTACTTATTTAACTGGAGTTTAAATTTCGCAACAATTTTTTGTTTTATTTTACCCATTAATATTTTCGTTTTCTCTGTAGGGTCTTGGCACGTAATACCCTTTTTTTCCTCAAAATATTAATATGACTCTGTAACCTCTAATTAGATGCACTAACCTCATGTTAACCCATCTGTGTGTACATAACCCATCTTCATCATCAACTCATCTCATTTCATCTCATCTCCACTCCCATGCACCTAAACGTAAAAAGTGAACCTGAAAGCGAACCTCTGACCATCCATCCATCCACCAACCATGTCGCAAACAGCCCTCCCGGAACTCGGATACACGCCAGGCGATTTGACGGAGCCACAGTTCCGGTTACCCTCGCACCAGCAGCTCCTCGATCAGAAGTTGAGGGATAACCACGACGGTCTGCCACTGGATCGCCTCACTTTGGACACGAGGGACACACAGCCCATCAAGTATCGGGAGTTTCCCGCTCTGGCGGCTGCCCAAAATCGCTATACGGATCATTTGGAGCGCGGCAGTGAGCTAAACTTCTCCGTATTGGACAACGGCAAGGACCTAATCTCACTGCCCACGGTTGCCACACGTACGTGCGACCCGGATCCCGATCTGATCAAGAAAATGCCGCTGCACTCGATCACGGAGAAGCCGAACGAGCGTTGTCCCTCGCCGGTGGTGCCGGCATATGCCAATTTTGAGCTGGCCAAGCGGATGCACCAGGACAATCTGGACCACCAGCCGCTGCCCGATTGTGTGGCGGATCTGGCCTTTCGCAGGGCACAAATCTCGGGTGGTCATGCCGGACTGGCCCTGGACATAGACCCCATTGCCACGGGCGTGGGTGTGAAGACCCACAATGCGGGGCCGACGCACTGCACCAAGATGAAGGTGTTCCGGCCCAAGACCGGCGGCGGCATTGTGCCCCGAGCCCTGGGCCATGGCGATCCATTGCGGGGCGTGGGCTCGGCACCGGCCAAGAAGATGGGTCCCATGGACCTGGCCATTTGCTGGGACTTCAAGCCGGCCAATCCCGGCGACGAGCCGCGCCTGGCCAGGCACATCGATGGCTCCAATGACTCGGCCGGACCGGCTGTCTTCACCTGTGTGAAGACGCCGCGCGAAGAGCAATCCTCTGATTTGGGTCGCTCGGCGGGTGTGTTCACCAGCACTTTGGGCGAGGCGGATTTCTTCGACAAGGACATACTGCGAAAGAGAACGGACTTCGGAGGAGCCCGCCTGGACCGCGAGGATCCGTGTGGATGCGACTACTCGCCGCCGGCGAGACAGCGGGCACGCAGCGTGTCCCGGGACTCGAGTGCCTCGCAGTGTCGCCGGCGAGGATCCGGCATCGGAGGACCAAATGGCGGTGTGAGCTTCGGCAATCTGGCAGAGCTGCCCGGACGCGGAATGCCCGATCGTCTGGCCAAGCAGTATCAATCGTCGCCCCTGCTCGGCGACAAGGCCTATCAGGCGCTGAGGGAAAAGTACTTGGGTCCAGATGCGGGACAAGATTCGTGCCAGCCCATGGATTGCCGGCCCACGGGTGGACCTCCGTGCAAGCGCGATGTCCTGCTGAGGCGACCAGCTCGTCGACTCTGCCACAAGGTGGCACCGGCTCCACGCTGCTGTCCAGCACCCGCCTTCGGAGGCCACGGACATGGCCATTGCCTCACCAGCAAGGCGGCCTTTCGAGCCGGAGTGCCCAAGCACAATGCATCCGGCGACTTTGTGGGCATTGAGCCGGGATGTGGTGGTGGCGGCGGCGGGGGGCGGGTGCTGGTGGTGCCACGCCCCCGGCAGCCATACGCCAAAAAGAACTACGACATTGAGACGCTCGTGCCGCCGTTCCAAAGTCAGGCCGGCGGTGCCGGACAGGGCGGCTATCCGGAGCACTGGCGATTGGCCAGCGTCTATCAGCACGCCTACAAGCCACTGGATCAGCGGCGGCGACCTCTCCTCCAAACCGTATATAAGTAGATCAATGCATAACCCAAACCCATTTGGAAGCCATTGCAGAAATAACACACTTTGTTGTCTGTTCAAGAGAACTATTTATATTTTGTGTCAGTAAAAAAAGGAATTTTACTTGTGTATAATATATTCCTATAACATTTTTCCCTCTTTTATTTTATATTATTTTTTGTCCGCGAATAAAGTTGTTCGTTTAAAATAAATAACTTATCCTTGTCCAGCATTTTTTGTCCGCCAACAGAGTTGTCCGTTTAAGATATATTGCATATTGCATATTCTTAAGAAGAGTTGTCCGTTAAAGAGAATATTTTTAATAAAAGGGGAAGGAAAAAAAGATAATCTTAAAAGCTTAATAACAAATTAAAATGTTTTGTAGAAAAAATAAAGATGTTGTTTTAATACAATACAAAGTGTTTTTCGTAAGACAGAACTTGTCAAAGTTATTGACTCCTAAGTTCAATTAACTTCTTACCGAGCATTTAAATATATTATTACTTAAAATAAATATACAAAAATAAATAAATATTCAAATAAGATGTAAGATTTTAAAATTTGGAAATTGAAATAGATTTTCAAAGTTAACAGTCTAAAATAAGTAACTGTATTCAAAATTGCCTTGTTATGGAAAATTATTCCATGCTTGTTAAAAGAAAATATATTTATATAGTAAGCCCCCAAAACCATTGGTCCAAAAATAGGTATAATTAATGCTCAAGGTGTTCCTACGATAATCCCCGTTTTTATAGAACTTCTCGGTTCATAATGCTATCCCATTTCGGCCTTTATTTGTTATCGTTTCCCTTATATAAGTAGAAAATCACAATGCATACAAAAAGTTGATGTAAAAAACAAATGTTATATATATTAAAAAGCATATATAAAAGGACATTGACAAACATTACATATATGAATAAACGTGCAAACATCAAGTACTTAATACTATAAACATTGTGTGAATACATTTGCAAATTTTTTAGGGAGTTCCCTTGAATACATTCAAAAAAAAAATATTGATAAAACTAGTTGAAAACTCTCCATTTATAAAAATTAAAATATGGATTTGGTTTCAAGATGAAATAGGTTTCCTTTCGGTATTTGCTGGTTTTGTGTGACAATCTTTGGGTGCATTTAAAAACTTAACTAGGTGCTAAAAATAGTGTTCAATGAAGTTAATACCTTGCTGGAATGGGTGGACTTTGAATGGGTAAAAAAATATAAATAGAGGTCAGTAAACTAAGGATGTCTTTGAATTGTTCGTTGAAAATGAACTTAAGAACTTTGGAGTTTTCTATGACACTTCCTTATAAATTAAGATTACCTTTGAAAAGCGTGATTTTTTGACAATTTAAATTATTTTTCAATAAGCTTTTTTGGGAAACTCCTTATAAAATATGATTTCCTTTAGCTGCCTATAGATAAATTTTCAATTTGTGATTTTTAAACAATTAAAATATTTTTGTAACAACAAGGTAATTTAGGAATCTTCTTATCAAGTAGAATTCCCATAAGCTGATCATATATTAATTTTGTTTTGATAGTTTAAATTCTTTTGCAATAACTTAGGAATCCCCAAAAACTGACCATAGATTACTTGGCTGCCTCTATAATTTTTTGACAATTTAAATGCCCCAAAGTCGACTCATTCCTAAGCGGGATGAGGAACATGCCCCCTCACTTGGCGGTGGCGTAGGCATCGTGGCTCTTGTGGAACACATGGCGCAGCACGTCCCGCGTGGACCGCCGAATGCTGTTCCTCAGCGTGTGCTTCTTCTCGTTGGTCAACTGGTCGATGGTCATGTACTCGGTTTGGGGGACGCTCGAGCGGAGTTTCATGGTCCGCTCACTGCTGTCGACAATGGATATGTCGGCGGAAGTGGGCTCCATCGGGTGCTCCACATCGGTGGACTTTTGGGGCCGCCTCCGCAGACTGTGCCGAATGCTGTTCAGCAAGTTATGATGATGATGCTGATGATTGTTAGTGGGTGCCTCCTTATCCTCGGTTTTCTCGGGTGAAGAGTGGGTGGGATGCATAAGTCTTCGGATGGACTTTCTTATCATACTCTTCATTCCGCCAGTGGGTTTGGTATCAACCGATTTCGAGGACTTGCTGGAGGCGATGGAGTGGAGCGACTCCTTGCTGGTGGCTTTGGTGGGCAAGGCGGCTGGTCGATAGGCGCGAACGAAGCGTGCCGGAGCCTTGAAGTCTAGGTCATCGTCGGGCTCTTCCTCGGACTCGGAGGCATAGGCCACATCTTCCCCCTCCCCATCCTTCTGCTGCTGCTGCTGTTCCAGGAGGAGCTGCTCCTCATCCTCCTGCTGCTTCTCCTTCGCCAGCTGCTTAACCCTTTCCTGCAGCTTCTCCCTGAGCTGCTCGTGCAACTGCTCCTGCAGCTTCTCCCGCTCCAAATGCTTCTCCCTCTCCAGCAGTTTCTCCCGCTCCAGTTGCTGCTCTCGCGCCAAATGCCTTTCCCTTTCGAGGAGTTTTTCCCGCTCCAGCAATCTCTCCTGCTCGAGCAGCGCCTCCTGCTCCAGATCCTGCTCTTTGGTCTCCTCCACTTCGGGATCCTCGGTTATTTCGGTGAGGGTGCGTCTCCTGGTGCAAACCAGACGCCTTTCCACTTGGTTGGTTGGGTCACCCCTGACCTGCACTTCCTGCATCATCGATTCCTGCGCATCCGTTTCCATGAACACCGAAATTTTGGCATTTTTAGGTGGCTCCAACTCCACGCCATTCTTCCTCAGCTTGGCCTCGTTGATGCTGTTCTCCAGCTCCAGCTGATAGCGATCCAGCTCCCTGCCAATGTCCATCGAGGAGGACTCCTCGCTGATGGCACCCAGTGAGCGCTTTGGAGCCGGAACTGGCGAGAACACGAGCTTCTCGGCCAGCAGCTTGCTGGGCGTCAACTGGGCCAACGACATGCCGTGGAAGTCGATGCGACAGCCGAGGGTCGGGGTGAACGGCAGACCGATCTTCAGGCTGGTGGGCAGCGGTTCCTCGGCATCGGCATCCCGATCGGCCAGGGCCGGATTGGCCACACCCGCGGGATTGCAGGCCGCCTCGGATGCCTCACTGGGGCGATGGATCTCGAAGGGATTCAGTGAGGCCGGGGCATCGCTGCCACGCAAATTCAGGCCGGGATTTACGAATCCCTTGGCCGGCGTGGCTGCCAAGCGGATGACCTGGAAGCATACAAACAGTTTGTCAATTTTAATTTGTTAATTTAAGTATTTATCACATAACACCAGAAGCTTTATTAGCGCTTAACAAATATTTTATAAATTATTAAATTTTATTTCCGCTGATAAAAATGTAAGAGTAATAAAGTTTGAAATATTTATTAAGTCACTTAAACATGACTTATTTAGTTCTTAAATAAAGGTGTCGAGAAAAAGAAATACGTTAACAAAACGAAAACATAATTCAAATTAAAATCGGAAACAAATTGTACAAATTAAAATAAGTGTGAAGTTCAATTATCTTAAATGTTGAAATAATAAATAAGTTAAGTATTTACTGTACCTAAACTAAATCTTAGCTAAGGAAGTAACTTAATATTATTATTTTGAACTGATAAATATGCTTATTCGGAAAATAATATGCATAGTTTAAATAGCCGTTTATTTATGATCAGTGAACGACTAAATAAGTTGAGCATATACTGTACCAAAACTATACCTTCTACTATCGAACTTACCTCATATGGATTGAATTGCTTTTCGGGTAGTTCCAAATTCAGGCCAGGATTCTCGAAGCAGGCGTGTTCGCGCTTCTTCTTCTTGGATGGCTGATCTCGTAGGACCTCGAAAGGATTTGTGGACAATGGTTGTTGCTGTTGTTGTTGTTTTGGTTGCTGCTTTTTTTGGGCAAGATCGGCAATGGACTTCACCTCGAAACCTGGAAATGGATTGCTATTCTCCTTGGCCAAACGACGTCGGCCGATTAGCTTCTTGGGTGTGGAACTAAAGGCGGCATTGGTGAAGCAGGATTCGGATTTCGATGACGTCACTTGGACAGCTGCATCCTGTCGAGCGTCCTTTTCCAGTGTCAAGGGAAGGGGCGGGGGCGCGGTCTCCCTTTTGCGCTTGCGCGGCGTCTCTCGATCTATAAAGGCCAATTCAGCAATGCTCTTGGTCTCCAACATGGTCCCTTTGGTATCCAATCACTCTGTTTATCCTTATTAGCTTATTAACTTCCTTTGGAAAGGACTAAATCGCTTCGATTTCAGCGAGCAGCAATTATAAACAACGAAGGGCGAAAGAAAATGCCATTTTGAAAATCCTTCAGCTGGAACCGGTTGTGCTGTTAACCAACATTGGTCGCAAACCGGTTCAACTAGGAATGAAACAACTCGTTATCGATACTTGCTGCTTACATAATGTTATAGTTTACAGTTTGCAGAAAAATTACTTTTCTTTGAACAACATTTCTTTTTAAATAAGGAAAAATATGATTATTGGTATTTAATGCGTAGAGCCATTTTATTTCTACTGAAAAAACTTATAAATTATGTTTAATAAACATATATAGATAATAAAACTACGGAAGCTAGCACTAAAATAAAAACAAAAAGGAATTATGCAGAAGCTACTTATAACTAAAAAAAGGTAACATTAATTAATAGCGTGGTGCCAATATAATTATAATGTTAAAACCTGTGTGTTTATTATGTTCGGTTAGAGTCATATGGATTTAACGAAAGACTAAATTTCAAGTCTTTTCTCTTTCTAGGAAAATATGATAAATTTTACTAAAAAAAATATGATAAATTTTACTCATATATATATATATTTTATTATAAAAAAAACCGGTTTGTAATATTGTTAAACATAGAAAAACCGTTAAAAGTCAAGTCTCCAACTATCGCTTCTAGTGTCATCCCCAACTACAAAGCTGTTTGCATTATCCAACACTGTCACAAATGCTGGAAAAACGAAATTTGAAAACAATTCCCCAAAGCGCGGCTTGCTGACTAAGAAACCGACATAAAACAAAGAAATAAACGGGTTAATCCTTGACATTCGAGTGAGTGGTGGTGGCCCGCATCCAAATCCATCCACAATGTCCAGTTCCAAGCATCGCAAGACGGCTAAATCATCGCGCGTTCCGCCGCAGGCCAAAGAATATATCACCGAATTGGCTGAGGATCGCGAATTGGAGCGATTCATGGCCTTCTCGTCGACGACAAGTAGTGGAGCCAGTGGCAGCACCCACAGTTGTGCATTGGGAGTGATCCTGCAGCCAGGTGTCGTCTCCACCGCCGCCCGGGAGCATGGATCTCGGCCAGAATCGTGTCACAGGCGTCGCCTGAGGAGCAGGGAGTGTCCACTGGCAAAGGGATCATCGGATGAGCAACTTCTGAACCTGCCTACATCACCGCCACTCTGCAAGCCCGCTGCTTCCATAGAAATCCAGCCCAAAACCAGTGAATACACCATTATACCCATTGTACTGGACGACAACAAGCAGGTCCCTCATCAAACCATATCATTATCCGTGGAGAACCTGAGGACACCCACCAAAGAGATGCATGCGAAGAAGACGCAGACGCCCGAGTCCGCCTTGAAGTGCCACAAGCGCCTGGAATGGGATCCTGCCGCCGATGTGGGCTACTACAAGCGGGCGGTCTCGACCAGCAACATCAGCACCCTGGAGCGATCTGTTTTGGAGGAGTGCGGCTGGCGGCAGCCCAGCCTTCTACAGCAGCGATCCGAGACGGACCTGGACAGACTGCAGCAGGAGGAGGCATTGCCGGGGCAGGACAAGCCCACGCCACC